AAGGAATAAAATCAGGTGCGTTAATGAAAATTCTAATTAATCACATTTAGGATTCATTCAATATGAGATGCTTTTTGTCGAATGCATGAAACAAACATTTGGTTACCAAAGCAAAATTTCATGTGTCACTAGGGGTTTACTCACGTTCTACAGAATGGATTGTTTCCCATTAGACTATTCTAATAATTCTAATAGTTTTTTTTTTATTTTTTAATATGTATATAATATAAATAATAATATAAAAATATATTCTAATTTGTTCAAAGGCTAGTAACATTCGGTATTTTGAATGTTTAATTTTTTGTTCTCAAAAACGGGATTTTTTCAGAAAAAAAAACTCCAAATATCAAACCAAACGGGATAAGTTACAGATATATTCTATCTATTCGTTGAGTCAAGGATGTTATCAACTCATCTGGAGAATTTAATAGTGTCATTTATTCTATTTTAATAAATATTAACTGATACCATTTTTTAATTGCTTTATAAACTTTAATAAATCGATAAACAATTATATACTAGTTGTCAATTATTGGGACAAATTGACTTTTGGCCATTTAGGTTTGAAATCTGGATAGTATTTATAGCACTTGATGCATCAGCGCTACTACGTTTATTTAAAGTTTATTATTTGTTAATGAAAATAGTTTTCTCAATTATGTTTTTTAGTTGATTAAATATTAGCGTTTTATTGTTTTAAAAATGAAGGATCCTAACATTTGTCAGTGACCTTTAAAAACTTTAAAAGGTCAAAATACCTATTACTGATTAATTAATAAGACAAATTGACCTTTTTGGTCATTTTCTAACCTTTTACATGGTATGAATGAAGAAATTCTGCACTTAATACATTCAAAGTCATGTCTTAACAGAGCTATTCGCTAGTTCCGAAGACCTCGTTAAAAACGTTTGCTTGGGATTACATTACCATTTTAATCCTATTGGTGAGATACACTTAATGGCAAAAAAAGTAGCCACCCTATAAATTTCGGTAAATAAAAATTGATTGGCAGTGTTATGTACTGTTTCATATTGTGTCTCAATTTAAATATTTATTGCGATCATGTACGCTTGTTTTTGAGTTTTAACGTTTATGTTATTGTTTTGAAAACGTTTAATTAAACAGTAATTTAGGTTTTCAAACAAGGTAAGTGAATAATAAAAATATGGTGTTATTTACTGCAGATGTTGCATAAATTATTGAATTGTTATAAGACGGAAGAAGTCAAGTTTATGCATCCGAAACTTTCAGTATTCCGAGAACCACAGTACGGAGAGCTTTCCATCGCTTTATAGAGACTGACATACTCACGTCGACCTGGACCCGGACGTAGAAGAGTTACCTCACACCTCACGTAGAAGAGTTACCTATCGTTTTATTGTGATGGAACGTTTAAGAAATCGTCATTTCACTGCGATTGCTGTAAGAAACCATCTGCAGGACGTACGAAATATGAATGTAAGTGAGAGGAAGGTTAGAAGACGCCTCAATGAAAGAGGACTAATGGCAAGAAGGCCGGCCATATATTTCCGAATTAAAACCCAGACACTGTAGGAATCGATTAATTTTTGCTCAACAATATGAACACTGGGATATACAGGATTGGAGCCGAATTCTCATTACTGGTGAATCGCGGTTTTGTTTGAAATTTTGCGATGGCCGGGAGAGGATTTGGAGATGGAGAAATGAAAGGCATGTCCAAGCTTGTATGTCCCAGAGAAGAAAGTTTGTAGTATTATGGTTTGGGCTGGAATCTCATTTGAAGCTCGAACTGAACTTATTTTCATCAATGACCACCTGAATGCTCACCGGTATATTTTGCCAGAAGCAGGCATTTCCATTTGGTTCATTTATTGGGGACAATTTCGTCTTTGTGCATGATAATGCACGGCGATCGTGACAAAGTACTTGGGGGAAGTAGGAATTAATACTCTAGAATGGCTAGCCTAAAGCCGGGATCTGAATATCATCGAACATCTTTGGGATGAATTTCATCGTAGGGTTAGAAGTGAACCAGGCAAGTCAGAAAGTCTTGCACAATAACTTCAAAACATGCTTTGTGAAGACTATGAACGTACTCCTCAAGTTTTTATTCAAAATTTGTTCCTTTCTCTTCCAAATCGTATGCAAACGTTAATGTTTTAGGGCATAATACCCAATATTAGACAATTTTAGGACAAATATTCACTCGTAATATTTATTGTTTGTTATTCTATTCCATATTACAATTTTTTTGTAGCCTTCTAATTAAATAAATAATGCTAAGGAATCAAGTAGTTATGGCCATTTTTTGTTTTAAACATGAAAGATGTTGAGTATAAAATACGAAACAGTGTATAAAACTTGTTCCAATGATTTTTTATTCTCGGAAATTTATAGGGTGGCCACTTTTTTTACCGCTCAGTGTAGATCTTTGAAGAACAGATGTGAAGTACATTGTACATCTGAACTCTACTAACTACTGCAAATTACTATTTCATACAATTTATAGATTATGATCATTTTAATTGGTACTAACGGATTCAACTGTTACTTGATGATAGTTCATTTTATCTAGCAATGAAACTCTGAAAACTTTTGTTTTCAGCACTTGCCCAAAATTTAGTATAGTTTATTATCACTACAGCGGTTTCGGCAGAGTGCTTTTCTCAAGTGATTTTATATAGTATTTTTACTAAACTTCTACTATATAATCTTTAACTGAATAAGTTGAAAATGGGAGAGCTGTTTGTCTCAAGTTGAACATTCGGAATTATATCTGTATTTTTTAATTTATTAATTTCCAAAGATTCTAATAAATGAGGCGTTAGTTTACTATGTCTCTGAACAATGTGTCATATTATTTCGGAACAGAGTGGATCAAGTCCAGTTGACTAGTCAGATGGTGATCAGTGCATTTATCGTGATCGTTTATGATTAAAAATGGATTCAAATGACGACATTAATAATTTATCTGCATCATCATCTGATAATTATATACCTCCAGAACAACACTCGTCTGCAGAATCGGAATTAGTCAAATGTGATCAACTGCCCTTAAAAATAGCTGCAGCAACTGAACCTGAGATATCCAATTTACAAAACAAGCTCGAGATGTACTAAAATCGTAGAGTGATGACGCATCAGCTGGCATCTGTTACTACTTTTGACCTCCAAAAAGCGCTGACATACCCGAAATTGTCTACATCCATTGCATATTACAAAAGAAATATGTATGTCTATAACTTAGAAATTCATTCCTTCAACAAAAACAACAGCTTAATGTATGTATGGGGCTAAACAAATTGACCATGCATCTGAGAAAACATGCCAAAAATCATAACCACGTAACTCTCTATTCAGATTCATGTACAGGACAAAACAGAAATTTTAAAGTAGCTACCACGTTACTAGATCTTGTTCAAGATCCTTACATAAACATAAGAACACAAGTTCACAAGTTTCTTGTATTTGTCCACTCCTTTTTGCCAAACGACCGATATTTTGGGGTTATTGGAAAGGCTGCCAGAAAATCTTCTCACATCTTTGGACCAGACAACTAGATTGATGTAATAAAAACTTCAATATTGACAGTGTCTTTTGAAGTAACTAACATAAAAAGAAGCGACAATATGTCAACATCGAGCATAGAAGATGTGCTTGTAAATAGAAAAAAAAATAGTGATGGAGCACTATTACTGTTACACCGTTAAGTGGTACGAAATGAGATGGATGGGGTACAAGAGAGAAGATCCTTAAGTTTTGAAGTACATACAAACCTACGCTGAATGACAATTTTCCGTTTTTTATTGTCTCGATGGCAAAAACAAATGTCTCAAAATTTATTGGTAATCAAAGTCATCTATACTCCACACCTAGACTCGTGACAGAAGCAAAGAAAAAGGACATGCTGTCTCTCCTCCCATATCTGCCACCAGTCACACATTATAATTTTAAAAATCTCTGCATCAACACAGGAACCCATTCACGAATCCAGCAACAGGGTGAAGAAGACGACATAGACAATCATGAACTGGTAGATGATGATTAAAACTAATGTCGGTTAAGATGTGAGAGTATTATTGAACATTATTGTAATAAGTTTTTTAGTTGTTATTTTGGTAACTAAAATTCAAGTGTTGTCATACATACTTCGCTTTTTAATCCATTTTTTTCCACCAAATATTTCAGAGTAATTATAGGAGTAATATAAAGCAAGTCCAATTTTGTTCAAGAGTCTCTCATTATTTCTAAAAAGGTTATTTATTTAATATTACACGTAGTTTAATTATTTAAACTAAGAACATATCGCATATGAGATTTTCACTTAGATTCGGTTCGTTGGTGTATCATGTAATAGTGGAGTGCTTGTTAACTTTAACTCTTAATATCTCTGACTTACGTATTATGGACATGATCCACTATGGTTCTGAACGCCTCATATATAGATTAAGGCCTTTATTTTGAGTCAGCAATTGGTCATTAAAAGAATATTTATTATCTAGAAGGTGAAGTATTTACGTAGAATCTGTTTTTCTCTTATTGAAAGCCCTTTTGTGTTTGCTATACGTTTGTTGAAAGTTTTAATAGTTTGATCAATGTAAGTTTTTGGATAGTCACCACATGTAAGTAAAATATTATGTAGATACTTATAATTCGTTGTATAAAAGTGCTGTAATATCGTGGAAATGTCCAAGAAGGATTATTTAAATATATTGCAGTATTTTAAAATCATCGTAACTGTCATAAAATTGTAAATTATTCATATTACTTTCTTTTCTAGACAAAAGATACTATTAATGACAATTGTAGATCATAAACTATAAAATGATCAAAATTTTCATGGTACATAGTATATTTTTGAAATCATTTTGACTACTCTTTCGATGGAAGTATCAAAATTTAAATTTCAATGTATATAAATAATACATATTACGTGTGTCCGCTTGATCACAGTGCAGATCTGGAATTTATAATACAATATTTAAGAATTGTGAATTATGAAACTTTGGTACATGAGCGGAAAACCAGATCGGGTTTGCCCACTGACTTCCATATAATGAAATGTATGAGATAGGGATACAAGTAGAGGGAACATTTCTCTTAAAATTATAGGACGAACTTTTAGGATAATGATATGTTTTGTAGATTTGTATACGAGATCATAGTGATTAAGAATTTAAACATAATTTTGGTTTAACTCTAAGCATACTACAGAAAGCCTTCTTAAAATCTTTCAAGATTAGCGCTTGACTAACTATGGTTTGGCTGCCATTAAATTGGATAGTTGGAATGAATTTTACTCGAGGACGCAAAGCGTTTGTTCTTTCTCCATAATGTTTTAACAGTATAGATCCGTGGTTGCTATTCGCACAGTCGAGTATTGGTGTAAAGTTGATGTTTTGCTCTTTGGCACACTAAAAAAAATAAACTTAGGTAAGAAAGTAGCATAAAGCATCAGGCATAATATGGCTAAAACCCAATAAAAAGAATTACAAAAAAGGTTTTCAAAAAATGTAGAACAAGGGACAGAACCGGGTGAAAGGTCCAGCTGAGAGAATACAGCGACTGTTAGTTATAATAGGAACTCCACAAAGAGCGTAACCGGATAAGAATGTCAAAATTGCCACTGAGGAAACTTGATCCCAATTTTTTGGGTATTTTTCGGCCTCACAAAAAATATAATTCACCAAATTTTATTACAAAATATTGACATATAAGCTCAAAATTCCATAAAACATCAAAAATGTTTTTTTAGCCATAACAGTTAATTTTGTACTAAAAGAAAAATTTGTTTTTTTTCTAATTTGAAGGTTTTTTTTGTGCTTTACAAAAATATTTGAACAAAAATGAGAGTTGGCCGGAAATTCAAAGTGATTTGAGTGTTTAAAAATTTTAATTTTAAAAAATTAATTTTTAATTTTAACGTTTAAAAAAACGCCTATAAAAAAATAAGAAAAAATATGGATAGATCAAAAAAATATATGTATGTATGTATGATCACCAAAACTATGTTCCAGAATTTTTTCGGAATTTTTAAAGTGATATAAGGCAGTTAAAAAATCAAAAAACCGGTTTTGCACCGTTTATTGATTACATTTTTAGTTAGAGATACAATACTCGTTTAGAAGTTATTTGAGTAAATAGCTGACATCAATATCTTTAATTTGGACTTCAGATGAACCATTTTGGACTCTTAGAACAAGAGTTATGTTGATTAAAAGAAAAAATCTGATAAGATCCTTCAGTTCTCCGGCGTTTTCACCGTTTGAGTTATACTTTTAGTTAAAGAGACGCCTACTCTTTTGAAAATCATTTGATTCCATCAGTCGACATCAATAACTTTAATTTGGATACCGAATGAACCATTTTGGACTCCTAGAACAGGAGTTATGATAATTTAAAAAATGAAAATCTAGAATCTTCTGTTTTTCAGATATTTTGCCATTTTTTCGGCGGTTTACGGCTTATTTCGCGTGAATATTGCTATAGGTACACTGGGCATGAGTGGTCAATGTATATGTGTGATACTGTGTGTGAGTAACCACTTGAGCGAGACAAGATCGAGTAAGCTTGGCCTTGGCGTGGAGCGTCAGATTTGTGAGACGCCGTAAGAGTATCACAAAGATTTGTGACAAAAAACAAACACAGCGACATTGCCAAAAGGGCACTATATCGTATCTTCGTTGTTATTTGTCAGATTGTAGCATATTGATAAATACGTTAAATGAAAGGGGATTAGACACTGATGAATTTTTAAGAGAAAAACAAACATGACAATATTGCCAAATGGTCACTATATCATATCTTCGTTGGTATTGGTCCGATTTTGACATATGAATATAGAAATAAAGAAAAAATCAAACAAGGTGGTACGCCATAAAGACCTTACCACAGAATAATAAACACTCAGAATGCCCACTCTCAGATGCCACAAGACGCTTTGAAGTTTTTCAGCAAGCGCGCCATGTTTTAGAAGGAAACACATAACACAGACATATGATATGTGAGGTTATGTAATTGTTTATATTTATGTTTAATTATATTATATTTATGTTATTATATTTAACAATGTTAATATAATTCTATAGTATGTCTATGATTGCCGTAAATCAATTAAACCGGGTTAATTTTTCTATGCACATCACATAAACAATACTGGTTCCCTTTAAAACATGGCGGAACGTCTGCGCGAACGAGATGCGCGTACTTAATTTTCCATGGAAAGTGGGCATTCTGATTGTTTATTATTCTGTGACCTTATTCTGAAATTATGTCTAAACCATCGGAAGTATCTAGGTATACGTTTTCACATACAAACGTTTTTCGGTTTTTAATCTGCTTGATACCACTTTAAAAACTCTGAAAAAATTCTGGAACATAGTTTTGGTGATCATACATCACATATATTTTTTTTCGAGCGATCCATATTATTTTTTATTTTTTTATGGGCATTTAAAATTTTTAAACGCACAAATCGACTTAAATTTCTTGACAACTCTTATTTTTGTTTAAATAGTTTTGTAGAGCACAAAAAAACCGTTAATATAAAAAAAAAACAAATTGTATTTTGGTAAAAAATTAAGCGAGTTATATGCAAAAATCGATTTTTGATGTTTTATACAATTTTGAGGTTGTGTCAATATTTTGTGCTAAAATTTGCTGAATGTTCATCTTTTGTGATGCCAAACATTACCCCAGAATCTGGGGTCAAGTTTCTGATGGGACAATTTTGGCGTTCTTATCTGGCTAGCCCTTTGTTAACAGATTAGCATAATTCAAGCATAATTCAAGAATTTATTGTCAAAAGAATATATTAAATATTACATAAAGAAATACAGTACATTTTAAATAGTGAAATGTTGTATGAGAAATTAAAGCACAAGTTACATGTGAGACATTTAAAAAATGGGATTTTTTAAATGTCTCACATGTAAATGGGAAATTTATGAGATTTGGGAGTTAAAAAAGGTGGAAACATAGAAACAAGATCAACATATAAATCAAGAGACAAATAATTGACCAAAGTAGAAAAAAATTTTAAAAATATGTTAAAATGAAAGCAGATGATTGCATTTTTTTTCAATTCGAATTCTACTATTCTTCTTTGAGGTTTTATTTCTCATCAGAAAGACTTGTGGTAGCTCGAATTAAAATGCTGCATATCTACAATACTGATATATTTATTACTGTGTGACTGAATGTAGCCAATCTTTAATATTTAGAATTGTATATTAAATATAATTAAACACTTACAAGCTCCCCTGCTTCTTCTGGTGGTGACAGATACTGTTTAAGAAGACAGGATATATAATTAATTAGTCTTTCAGGATTTTTCAAAACTGATATGGCACAAGCGTGGATCTTATTAGCAAAGCACTCTGTAATATCATGTTGGCATTCAAACTCGATTTTTCCTGCTGTTTCTATAGTCTAAAATACATAAGAAGTATGTTTTTATGCAACAGTTTTATAAATTAAACATAGATAGTTTATATGTGACTTCTAGATCAATTCTATCTGGTAGTAATAATGTGACTGCACAACTCTATAAGAATATCTACCACGAACATTATTTGGATACAGTAATTAGATCTTAATTTAAATAAGTTTATCTTAAAAAAAACTCGTTTTATGTGAATAACACTTCACATTAAGCATAATTAAAAAGCTAATAATAGTGCACACAATAATGTCACTTGTAGTAGATCGTGTGTATTTCCTATTGAGATAGTCATATATATATATATATATATATATATATATATATATATATATATATATATATGTATCCATTTCAAAAACAAATCACAAAATCGTCAAAATTGTCTAAAATTGCTTTCAAAATACAATTAGTTGCAAAATATATGAGATGATTATTGATATCTAATTTAATTTCATTTATTCATTGAAGAACCATTTTTTGCAATACTATTTCAACTATGAATATAAAGAATCCTAAACTAACTATGTTGAATAAAAATCAAAACAATAAATTTAATAAAACTTAAAATTAAAATTCCTAGTTGTTGGCTGTATACCATAGTTTAAAAAAAAAAGTTACAATGAAGTAAAAACTTTTTTTGTAAAATGGTATTTTTATTAAAATTTTTAAAAATTATCTAAAATGGATTTATAAATTTTCAGAACGTTTTTGATCCTATTGTGAAAAAGGTCTAATTTGAGTAACGAACATTATAATTAATAAGATACTAGGTCAATGATAGGGGTTTAAGGGAACATGCAATTTAAAGGAACAGCTCAAAAAATGAGAGGTAACAATCAACTCCTTATATCTAAAACAATAAACAGCAACAACTTATAAATAACTATGAGTATCATAAAATGAATACATATGAAACAAAAATATGGAATTTACAATTCCATTATCATATTAAAGCTAGTTAAATGTTTAAAAATAAACAATGATAATCCAGTAAAACCTACACTCTCATCTCTGAATCCATTGACAAGTTAAGAGAGATATGCCACTGGACTATAAAACCCATAGTTAGTGCTGGGATATGGAACATCAAACAAACAAGTATTTCTGGTAACCCTATTAGGTATTTTAAAAGAGAATGTGGCCAGATAACAGCCTAAAAAGAAGTATTTCATCAGGCATTATCTTGTGATTTTCCAGAGTATGAAGCTTAAGTTGCATTAGTATATTCATATCAGTAAGTATGCAAAGGCATGTTCCATTTGTATATTATAAACCTTAGAAATGTATGCAGTAGTTTTACAATAGCAATAACAAGGATTTGACAGAAAGGAGACCATACATTAGAGGCATACTGTAAAGTTGAACTAACCAATGCATTATACACTATCTTTGTTGAATTATTGGACAGATCCATTGAATTGCGCAAAACAAAACCAATAATTTGAAGACCTTTACAAGTAATTGAATTATAATGGTGATTAAAAGATATTCATGGCATTTACTCTCTTTAGTAATGTATGTAAAACTGGCAATCAAAGACTATTGGAACTCTAGATCTAGAAAATGTAATACAGTAACATTTACCTATATTGAAATTTATTCAGTTAGCTACTGACCAATTCAGAAGAACAACTATAACTTTATTCAAAATAATATAATCATTAACACTGTTTACTCTTGCTTGTAACTTAAGATTGTCTGCAAATAATAAATTTAGAAAACTGAAAATCCAAACCAGTGTTGTTTATAAACAAATTGAAAATCAATGGTCCAATGTAAGATCCCTGAGGAACACCAGAATGAGCTGAAAGGGGATTATTGAAATCAGTATATATAGCATCTACGTGACTGACTTTCTCTATTGAATTAATGATATCATTTTCCAATATCAAAAGATTAGTTATTGTGGAACTCCAGTGACAAAACCATGCTACTCATCAATAATAATAATACTCTTACAATGTAAAGAAAAACAGCTTACTGCTAGGACAGTAGTTTTTAACATTTTTGCTATTTATTGCTCTACCTATGGTCAACTCATATTTATTGAATAGTAGCTTCTCATCAGTGTTTCCAATAAGAAAAATTTTTGAACCAAAATAGATTACAGCAATAGTGGTTATGACAGTGGAGGACAAAAAGAAGGCACATTAGCTGAGAAGAGTTTTTGACTAAAACATGTAGGGTTTATGTTTATTTTTCACAATATTGTATTCTATTGATACTTTAGAATGTCTTCCTGTTAATTATGTTTCTAATCTTTTATACAATGCTACTTCTTGAATTTCTGACTTTATTTTATTTTCCAGTGTTACTGCTAAAATTGATTTGTTCATAAGAATGTCTTGACTTGCATTAAAAGTATTAGTTTTTGATCTGGTCAGGATAAAACAACATGTTTGTTGCAGGTATATGAGAATTTCGAAATGGTGTAGTAATTACACGAGAACTCAAATTTAGGAACTGGACTACCCATTATGAGTGATGCTGAAGTAGTCTCATGATCCTGACGACTTAACTGTTTTAATTGGAAAATTTTACTTTTTCATCATACACATACAAATTTTAACATTGTAGTAATTTGGACACTAAAATCACATAGCAATAATAAATACGGGGTCATCTAATAGCAGGCGTGAGTTTCGAAGGTTAATATTAATTCTTACCTTAGCTTTTCCATACGGTATGAAATCTAAGTCAATGTTATTTTTAAGACGTTTGTATATGGGAAGCAACTGATATACCACGAAAAATCTCGAATCTGGGCATAGAGCCTCATAATGAATGGATATTTTAACCCTCTCCAGTTCGTCATCTTTCTCAACATCTTCATGATATTTTATAAAATATTCAAGTGACTTCAATGTTATTATCATAACAAAGAGAATTGCTATGAGTTTTGTGTATTTAATTGACATTATTGCCATTTTTTACTTTATAAATAAAATTTGTAATATTTTTACCGATTCAGTGCGACCTTCTCTGATGATATTTAGTAATTTATTGTGAAAATATAAAATTTAATAAATAAGTAATCAAATATATCGGTTTATTTGACATTTGAAAAAAGATTATAGTAGATAACAAAAACAAGAAGACTACTGAGCGTAGTTGGTTGCATAGCAATCGTAGTTCCACAAATCGTTTTTGTCCTAAAGTACAGTTTCCTTCATTCAGAACTCAGAACGACTAGTATAATCATAATCAGCATGTACAGGATTCAACAAAATAATTTAGTTAAAAGGACGATTTTCACATTTCCATCCAATATGAAAATATATAACAAGTCCCTCAATGAGCAAATAACTTTTTAATCCATTATTATTATGATACCTGTACGAAACGACAATACATATTACTTTTAAAAATTTTTAGTCTTTATAAACAAAGTTATTCTTGTATTAATTAAAAAATATTTATACACAAGTGACTTATTCCGTCATCGATGAAAACAGTACGAGAACCTGGCGGCCGATTAAAAATTTTGTATTAAAGAATTTTCCTATAATTTTATATCTGAAGGTACTAGTGGCGACATCTGTCGAAAATTGGCGACATTTTGAGATTGGATTGGCGATTCGAGAAAAATAAATCTGGCCATACTTACCACGAAGTTTTAACCTGGTTTTAACTGAGTCGTTCCTTGTTAAGGCGGAGTCCCATATATCCGATTTTTGACATACGAAAATCATCTTTTTTTTTCTCATCTTTCATTCTCAGTTTTAGTAGTTTCTTCATAATTATGGTTGTGATTGTCGGATACGAAATTTCGTATTAAGTGTCAACTGTCAATTTTTGTTTATTGTTTTACATGGGGGACATTTCCTGGAGACATTCATGGAGAACTTAAGGGTAGCTGCCTTCAAAGAATGAATTTCCTTAAATCACTAGCTCATTATAGTTGAGGAACCGATGAGGAAACACTACTAAAAATATATCGAGCTCTTATTCGCTCCAAACTTGACTATGGTAGTGTTCTCTATATATTATCAAGTAAATCACTACTACGTTCACTTAATGTAGTCCAAATTACTTCCCTTCGACTTTGTTTAGGAGCATTCCGATTCAGTCCGGTGGAAAGCATTCATGTAGAATGTTTCGAACCATCGCTTCATCTAAGATGACAACAACTTCTACTGCTCTATTTCGTTAGAGTTTCGGCAAATCCCACAAGAAACCTCATCTGTAAGAGACAATTACCAGTTAATAATAAACCTAGAATAGAACCACTATACAGATATGTTAATCCCTTATTTAGATATCAATCTGTTGTCGACCAACCCTTTCACGGTCCCTCAAACCCCTCCATATGTATGTAAACTTCCAAATTTTAATATCGAGTTATCCAAATATAATAAAAATGAAATATCACCTTCCATTATCAAACAAAGATTCTATGAAATACTACATCAATGCAACTTCGATAAGATCCTTTACTCAGACGCATCGAAGACTGAAGAAGGTGTTGGCTGTGCTGTTACAACGACTACAACCACCGTCAGCTTATTTCGACTCTCCCACAATTGCAGTATTTATACTGCTAAACTATATGGGATACTATAAGAGGTGGAAACTCCACTCAATAATGATAAAACTATAGCAATATGTACGGACTCTCTGTCCTCCATACAGTCCAAAAGAAACGTACATTCTAGCCACCCAATAGTTCAAGAAATCCAGAGTATATGTAATCGTCTTCAAACTAATGGAATTAGAGTAACGATATTGTAGGTCCCATCACACGTTGGTATTACAGGTAACGAAAAAGCCGATCAAGCAGCAAAACAAGCATGTTCTCTTAACGTTACCTAACAGACATTCAAACATCATCAGATCTAAAAAGAACAATCAAACATAAAATAATGGACCTTTGGAATGATCAATGGAAAAGAAGCAATACCAAGTTAAGTGTTCTACAACCAAACATTTTCTACCACCAGCTCTCACCAAAGAAAAGAAAGGACAAATCTATCAATCGAAGATTGACAATAGGGCACACACGCCTTACACATGGTCACCTAATGAATTCCAGTAATCAGATTTTGTGCCAGCACTGCAACACCACGACTTCCGTAACCAAAGATATGTAACATATCTCTGTCCGTAACACATCTACTTCTTGACTGTCAACACTACCTAGCGGCCAGAAGAAAATATAATCTTAGTAAACAACCTAAAAGACATAACTTATCGCAAATGATCTCAAACAGCAGTAGGTACCTATGCATGTATATAAATGTATTAAACTTTTTAAAAAAACACAAAATACAATTTAATTTAAAACAAAATGTATTATAACTAATTTGTACCCAATGTACAAGTATTAACCATGTAAATATGAATGTAAATTGTACCTGTGTCAGTGACAGATTACACGTCATTGAAATAACTTCATCTTTATCCGATGTCGGAAGCGAGTTAAAAAATTCGAATTCAGCTCGAAAATATTCTGAATCGATTCTGACCAATGAGAATACTTTCGGATCATCGGAAATCGTATACATGGGACTCCGCCCTCCGCCCTTGCTTGGTGGAGAAATTTTGATTATTTGAGTTCTGTGTGTTGTTTGACATAAATGTCATTTTGTGTTTCTGTCAATGTCAATCGAAGCCTAAAATAAAATGGTGGTTGTTATGCTGATAATACTATAGAAAATATGTTTTTTAAAGGAACACTATTAATCATAAGAAAATATTATTAAAGGGACTATGTGCAAATATCAAACTTAGATAAATGGTAAGTGGTACTTATAATATACTTTAAATCACGTTTTCTAAATTGTTTATTAGGCCAACAATTGTGTATGAGTTAATCATCATCATAATTACAAACATTATTCAGCTATTCATTGGTCGAATGTTCATAACATTGAAAAATACCGGAAATGGACATATATTATCTAATTGTCTTACATTAAATTTGTTGTTAAAAGTGCAAATTAAGGATCTCATATTTCTATTGAGTAACCAAACTAAATTAGCAAATTGAATAATATTAAATCGTTTGGCAATACCTGTATACTCCTGCTTTTTCTAACACACTCATTGTGAAATTATGAATTCTGATACTTAACTTTATCTTCTTTTACCAGTATTTTTAATCCGTTGTCAATAATTATAGTTATTCCAGTATTTCTCCCATGTCTTTTTATATATGTTTACTTTCTCCTTATATTTCTTCTACTTTTGTTAGTTGATATGTAGACTTCCAGTATTTGTGTTTTGGTTCTTTTTAATTGCAGACTATTAGGACTTAGGACTTGGAAATCTAACTAAATTGGAATATATGTAATGTAATGTATAATTTTTTCATCATTTTTATATGAATTTTTTCATTTACAAGAATTCTATCAATCTATATATCTATCTTAAACTATTCATTCATTTGGAATATTTAACATTTTTATTTGTAGATTTTCTCTATTTATTTTTGGTTGTGTTGCCCATTTGTCACTTTAAAGAAATATTTTACTAATATGTGCATATATTTGTTTCTCCTTAAAATGTGCAATAGGTATTCTGATTATTTTTCATTCATTTCTGACTTTAGTGTTTATTCAAAGTAAGCACAATATTATACTTTTATGGTAGGGACTGTAAGGTTATTCATTGCATATTTTAATGTTGAATTACATATTACATTCTGTTTCAGTGAGTATTATGGTGGAACCTAGAGAGTGATGACAAGCCAAAATTCACCATTTACACAGGTAGGATATTTATATTAAACAATTGTACTTTTAGATTGTTATTATTTTCAGAATCAATAACATACTGTTGTTTTCATTTTTCATGTTTACTTTTTTTGTACTACTAGTTTTTCTTCATAATATCACAGTGTCAATTTAACTAGAACCAGAATATAGTGTTTTGGATCACTTGTATGTGAAATTTAACTATTTAATAGTAAATTCAATAACAATTTGATTGCATATAATTACACAAACATAACTTCAAGTGCTTAAAAGTTTCAAAAAGTCAAATAAATTAGATTCTTATTTCCTTTCTTTCTATTATTGTACAATTAAAAATTACTGATGTTACAATACACATAATTTTTATTTTACTCTATACCCATCTTTAAATTTTCACTAGAATTTTTGTTTTTTGACCCTTGAAATTTAAATATGTAAGTAATGATTAATTTAAGGTGGAATTGTATTCCTACAAAAAATACAAAATGTACATACATTCTTAGTGTTATCACAAAGTCAGGAGTAATAAGTCATACCATTCAGTGTCTTTTAGTTGACTACAAGTAAATATACACTTATAGGCAACTCCAATAATATTTTTGATAAAACTGAACATCTTTTCTCTCTTTGTATTGTTTGAAATTTTCTAAAATCTAGTTAAGTTGTACTATATTTAAAATAAATGGATTGAATCACATTTCCTATCTTGGATTCAAGTTGTATTAAACTGTTATACAGTGCTAGTCAAAAGTCCGTCCCCCCCTTGTATCTTTTGAACTGTTATTGTTATAATAGTGGAATTTGGAGGGATGTAATAAACAGACGTAGGCTTCTTAACTAGTCATAACAGGTGACGTAATAGTGACAGATGACGTTACATGGCCACTGTGACAGATAATTTTAAATGTAACCTTATGGCAAGTGATACCTTGTTTGAAAGGTATTGAATACCTATTCAGTCATGATAATTTTGTTTGAGTTTAAGCTCGTTTTGATGAATAAATTAAATAAAGACTAAAATTGAAGCTTCTCATTTAATTGATAAATATTTAGGTGCAGGAGCACCATCTTGTTGAAACTTTATTTCCAAGTCGCCGAATTATTCTGGATTATCCTGCAGAATTTCAAGTATTAATGGTTCAATTGCATTTTGTAACATCTCCAGATACACTTCACCGCTTACGTTAGTATTGAGAAAAACAGGCCCAACTATGTGGTTTCCCAAAATACCTGCCCAAACATTTATATTTTTTGGAAATTGAGTATGTGTTTCACGAAAGAT